AAAATGTATGGGCAAAGCTATCGCGAAGCAAGCTGATTCGGAGTCTGAGTGTTCGGTTTTTATTTTTCGAAAATGTACAGAAACTGTTTCTGAACTCTCAGTGAAAAAGCATCTTGTTTTTTGTAGATTTTTGAAACGTGAAAAAGTTTTATTTTTCGGCTTTTGATTTTACCGACTTTCATTCTGAATCAGTTATCCTCTACTTCATAGACAGAGAATGTTTTGTGCCTGCTTAAAGGTTTGCTTAACAATGATTTTACTTATTTCTTGGAAACAGACAATTTGTGCATATGGTACCATACAAAACTGGATAACTTCATATTTAGCATTTATATTTTGGATCTTCTCGTAGAGAAAAAGCTTTTTGGTCAAAACTCTCCCGATGCAAGCTGATTCATAGTCTGAGTGTTGATTTTGATTGCTGGAAATTGTACAAATGCCTTTTCTGACCTCTAAGCAAAAAAGCATCTTGTTTTGAATTTTTGTCAGTTTTTTGAAGGTAAATTTGTTTTTCAATTTTTGGTTTTACTAATCTTCAATCCCAATCGATAAATTTTTACTTCACGGGCAGAGAGTGTGCGGTGCCTGTTTAAATGTTTTTTCAACAATATTTCTAATTGTTTCTTGGAAACAGTCCCGAAGCAAGCTGATTCAGAGTCTGAGTGATGGTTTTGATTGCTCAAATTTGTGCAAAATTTTTTTCGGACATCTCAGTGAAAAAGCGTCTTCTTTTTTTGTCGGTTATTTGAAGTTGAAAAACCTGTTATTTTTCGAATTTTGGATTTATTAGTCTTCAGTCTCAATCTATTATCTCTTATTATCTTATACTTCACAGGCAGAGAGCGTGCGGCGCCCTTTCATAAGTTTTTAAACAATAAATTCAAAACACTCGAAACTGTACAAAAATCTTTTCTGACCTCTCAGTGAAAAAGCATCTCTTATTGACTTTTTTTCGGTTTTTTGGAGGTAAAAGTTTTGTAACTTTTTGAAGTTTGGGTTGACTAATCTTCAGTCTCAATCTGATTTCTTGTATTTCTCAGGCGGAGAGTGTGTGCCGCCAGTGTAAATAATTTTTCAACAAGAATTTTAATTGTTGCTTGGAAGCAGTCGATTCGTGCATATGGTTCCAAAAAAAACTGGACAATGTCTAATTTACCATTTTCATTTTGGATCTTATCTTCGAAAAAATAAGTTTTTTGGGCTAAATTCTCCTGAAGCTAGCTGAATTAGAGTCTGAGTGTTGGTTTTAATTTTTTTAAAGTGTTCAAAACTTTTTCTGAACTCTCAGTAAAAAGCATCTTGGTATTTTTTGTCGGGTTTTGGAAGGTGAAAATTTTGTTTTTTTTTTTCGAATTTTGGATTTACCAATTTTCAATATCAATCGGTTGTCTTTTTTACAGCGGAGAACGTGCTGCACCTCTTTAAAAGTTTTTTAACGATAATTTGAAAAAAAATGGAAACAGTCGATTCGTACATATGGTACCAAAACTTATTTCTATTTTTAGCTGCGCGGTACGTGTGTTTCATTTAGTAATCGTATTTTGTTTGTTAAAATTCATTTATCTTTTCTGATTGATGTTTCTTCTAGCTTTCAGTTTATGTGGTATCTAATTTGTTGTTACCCTAAAAAGATTGCTTATAATTTAGGTTGGAACCAAGTATAGGCCTTGTCGTGGCTGTCATGCATTTGATCAGCAAATATGTTGACCTAGCTAACTGCGCATTAAAAATACATTAAAAATACACTGGATGATTTTGCAATCTGCATCAGTATAACGCTTATGCAAGCAAAAAATCAGACATCAATTCCAATACATAAGCTTTACGCGACCCATGTTAGGCTTTGAGCGACCCATGTTGCGACTTTGCGCGACCCATGTTGCGACTTTCTGCGACGCAAATTTGCTTTGTTGCGACTCTGTTCGACTCATGATTCGACCCTGTTTGGCTCATGATTCGACCGTGTTCGACTCATGATTCGACTTTTTTCGATTATAGTGTTCGTTCGACCGTCTTAATTTGCGACGGAAATCGGACTCCGTTTGACCGTGTCGGTCGAATCATGAGTCGAACACTTCAACCCGTGTTGAGAAAAGAGATTTTATGTCAGTTAACTTCTATTTCTTATTGAGTTATCACTTTAGCCGCCAATCCGTACGGATTCGGTAGAGATCATACAACATAGTATGACCGAGGTCAACCCGGGCAGCAGCCATCTTTCAGATTGATCAATCGTTCACGGTAAACAAACAAATAAATTTTCCTCAAGGGTTGAGTCATTTCAGTTTGACATCTGCTTTGAATCGATCTCGGATAGGGGGAATCTATAACCTTCCAATTATGAACCTTCGCTACTGTGCTCATTTCTCGTTTTCAATGTCAAACAAAAAGCTTTTTATGCAATTGCGAACAATGTGCACAGTATGGATTTACACTATTCTCTTCTCACTGTCTAGACCCTTTCCTCTCCTTCTCTTTTTTCAGTTTTAAAAAGCTCAGGGCACAGATGTATTTGACCTCAGAAAACCAAACTGTCTTTTTCAGCGTTTTGTTCCTGGATAGCTTTCAAAAATTGTTTTTTAACGGTGGAATCAACAGGCATAACTGATTTCATTACCATTGCTAGCTTATTTCATTTACGTGTAGTCCCAACAGTTTTTGATTTTCCTGAAGTATGCCCAAATTGCTGAACAAACTATTAAACTAACAACACAATATTTGGGGTGTAGTCAGAATTTTAAGTTGCAAATCAATAAATGACTCAGCCGTGCACATTATGACCAGTTTGATCAGTTTTTGAGCCAATTTTTGTTGATGGCGGGCGCATGAGAAACAATTAGCGCCAGCAACTTGCCAGCAAAAAGAGAATTCCCGTTCGCTTTTAAATATCTCCACCGGGTTGAGTTGACAGAAATAATTATCACTAATTCAGAGATTTTGCAGGAATTACTATATATATGTGATCATGGTCACTTTATCCATAATCAGGGCTAAATCATCGCTAAATTAGCGCTAAATTTCAGTTTGAATCAGACATGAGTCATCCATGAGTCTGAGTCAGAGATGGAATTTCAGCGCAATAACCCACAGAACCTATGAGTTAGGGATATCTCAATCCTTAAAATTTCCCGACTACCCGGGCTGAGGTGCTCGACAGGCACGGTCAAACTAAATCCGATTTTTTTTGCAACCGGAATTGGCAAAACTAACACTGCAATCAATTTTTACACATCTCTTCTTCCAGTTGGCCAAAACCATCTGGGGAGAATCAGCTTTTAAGCGAAAAAAAATCAAAAGAAAATATACGAAGTCAATTTTAGTTAAATTACAAGCAGCGGTGAAAAAATCAACCAGAAATTACGTCGCTATAGTTTAGTTCTAAAGCGCAAGTCGGAGTCACAAAAAACGGTGACATTTTGCGGCTATTTATAACCAAAAAATGGCGACAATTTTTACCGTTGGTAAAAAGGCTATTTTTACCGAAAACAAGACACATTACAAAACATCAGTTTGAAATTTTTGAACTTTTCTTTCAGCGCTGATTCAGGGATTTAACATGGCTAAATTATCCATGATTAACGCCAAGTATTTCTGCCTCGTTTCGGTTCTGAGGTAGATCGGTTTCGGGTAGCTGGTTGATTGACAAGATTTCATTTCATATGTAAGTTAACCGTAATTATCGGAAATTACAGGTCAACAAAGAATATCGAACTGACATAAATGAAAAAATCAAAAATGAAAACCTGAAAAAATAAACTTTAAAACAGCGCCTGAGCAATTTGTGAACTTTGTTTCGATCTTTCAGTGTTCGTCTTCTCCCACACACCGTTCTTCGTTCGCCAGAAAATTCATTAGTTACGACCTTGAGTTTTCTCGCGATGAATTCTAGCGAGAACACTGAGAGTATGAATAGCCATGAATTGACCTTGAACCAGTGCTAAAAATTTCATAAAACGGGGAAATGTCTGAATTAGCCATGAGTTTTTCTACAAAATTGAGATAGCTCTGAATCAGCGATTATTTTTCCTGTCACCTCAACCCGGGGCCCTCTCTCTCTCTCTCTCCTCTCTCTCTCTCTCTCTCTCTCTCTCTCTCTCTCTCTCTCCCTCTCTAGTTTCTTCTAAACAGGCCATTCTGTTGGCCCCTGACCTTATAGCCGGACTGACTGTTCACAATCAGGCAAAGGTGTGGTGGGGATAGAGTTAGAGTTAGTTAGGAAGGGAGGAGGTGCTAACAGGAAGCGAATCAAAGCCACGCCAAACGGAAACCAACTCTGTCTCAACTCTACATCACCCCCCCCTTCCTCTCTCTCTCTCCTGTCCAACCCAACCGACCACCCAATAATAACAACCAACGCAGACGCAAAATTTTGTCTCAAAGTGTAAATAATTTAAGCCCCCCCCCTTCCCCAATTTCCAAAGGAAACAGAAGGAAGTGAAACAAATTAAAGCAATATTACTGTTCCAACTGCAGCATACCATATAAGTATGAGCAAAAGAAATCAGTGAAAGCCAATCTTCATCCTCAATGAAAACAAATCCTCAGCTGCAGCAGTAACAAAATAAAACCAACTAAAAGTAACTATAGATATACTACTCAGCTCCCGCCCTTGAATGAAAACAAATCCAAAAACCTGTAATATGAAACAGTATAATGACGGTATAGAGTAGCTTGAACAGGGCACCCCCGCCACAGTAGGTAAATGGACGCACAAAGAGGGGGTTAACATTTTGAACCAAATGAGTTGAGTTCACTTGTTTCTCTCATTCTCAGCCACGCATATCCAGATCCCTTCTTTCACCCTAGCCAGTGGCCGATTACCAACTGCTTCCCCGATCAAACAACAATACGGCGCCCGCGACCCCACCCCCCACCCCTCACTCAAATGCAACTGACCTAACCCGCTCCACGCCCCCCCCCCTCCCCCTTATCCACTCCCTCCTCCGCACACATTCTTGTAGACTTTCAAATAAGAATGCACACTTTCGTTCACGCGCTATAGTTCCCTAATCAATACTTTTTTTTCAATTTTCTTTCCACAACAAATCAAAACAAAACAACACAAATCATATTACAGTTTACAGTTTACCCAAGGCAACAGCCACTTTTCCACAAAACAAACAAACAAACAAATTAGAATGGCAACAGTTTACTGGGCGACAGAAAGCGAAGTCATGCTTGAGTGTAATACAAGCCAATAAACACCTGACGGGGAACTGTGGTGAAGACTTTGCAGTTGATTGCGGCTGGATTGTTTGCCCCAATGAAGTGGGCCTCTCTTTATAACTCCCTCTTCTCAACTGCGCTCTGTTTAACTTCCGCCTAGGAGAAAAGAAGCAGGCAACTGAAAAGCATCCAAGTAACCAACCGATCATCTCATGTTCCCAAAGTTAATCTATTGTTCATTCTATCCCAACAGTGTCATTCACTCATAATTAATCTACTTAACTTGCCCTTTTCAATCTCAAACTATAACTTTTAATTCCTCCATTTTTGAATCATTTGGCCTGATTTATTGGGAAAAAAAACTGTTTTCGTCCCAAATTAATTTTTCTTATCAAATTGATTAATACACAATCTTCAATTATTGATCCCAATCTTTGAGTGTTTTGAGTGATTATTGAGAAAGGAAGACCAAAAATGGGCAAATTTAGACTGACGGTTTTACTGCGAGAACCGACTGAAGACAACAACCGGCCATGTGTCACCACATCTTCTCATCATCACATTCCGAAGACAAGTGAGTACACCCCTCCGAAAAAACTAATTCAAGTTTGACAACCCACGCGTTGCAATTAGCATAAACCACGTGTCTAACACAAAAACTCAGCACTTATTAAAGAGATTGGCACTGGAAAGGTAATGTGAAATAAAGTTGCTTAGCGCTGCTTGATTTGTTTATAATAATTTTACAAGTTTTCTTGTTTTTCCACGTTACCACCTCCGTAATCACTACGCAAAAAAACGCTTATCATACACTTCCATACATTGGTTGTATGGATCAAATGTTTATCATATAAGTCCCATTTATGAAAAATTTACGTTAAGCATTTTTTGCATTTTTCCACCCAATGTTTTGTTTCGAAAATCCTTTCTAATCATCGGACATAAGTTGAATGAAAACATGTTCACCGAATTTTTTTTTTGGTTAAAAATGTGCATATTATACAATTTCTTTTGATGAAAATTGCCTGATGAGATTTTTTTCAAAGAAAAATAGTCAAAACTGAGAAGAAAAAAAAAATTTTTTAGTTCTAAATTGAGTCGCTAAAACAATTTCATGAACTTTGTAATTTTTTTTACATATAACGTTGTTCACTGTTCACGCACAATGTTTTTGCATGAAAGAATAAATAATAACATTTGGATTCTGGGTGATGGCAGAATTTGAAATTTTCTTTATAAAATAATAAAGTATAACCTAAAGCTACCATAAAATCAGGCCACGACTTTCAACATTTGAATTTTTCGAAATAGAGGCTTCGTAGCATATATAAAAAAATTGATATTTAGCTACAATTATAGGTAAACATGATTTTGTTTTATTCACTTGCCACCTATCAATGCGTAGAATAATGAGCAATTTTAATGCCGTTGAACCTGTTGGTTATTTTTCCTTTTGAGAAAGATTTGGTTTTTGTTTTTCAGGGTGAACCTTTCAAAAAAATGATATGGAAGAAAGGCGTACAGAAACTCAATCAAGCAAAAATGTCTACGATAAAATTCTTAACTAAATAAAAAATGTTTATCATGTCTTTTTCTTACCATTTTTTTTAAATATGGAAAGGCATAACTTTATAGTATGGAATTGTATGACAAGCATATATTGCGTACCCGGAAACTTTAAATTTCCTTTTTTTGTCACAAATATGTTTTGGGGGTAGGGGACGAGGGTTATAGCGCTAGTCTGTTTAAAAAACCGACAATGAAAGGAAAAAGTTGAAAAAAAAAAAAAAAACATTTTTGTTTGTAATAAAAGTGTGTAAATACCACTGGAACTATGCTAACTATGTAAGTTTAAAAAGGAATAAAAATAATGTGTAAATAAAACTGAACGATGTCTTAAAAGAGCAACTAGTGACGCGAAGTCCACTGGACTTGGTAGAGTAGACATTAACTGGTACGTGATTAATCTATAGAAATCAAGGTTAATAGATACTGAAATACTAAATCACAACATTCCCCACTGCACAAAAATTTATATCTGCCCACTCCCCAATGTAGCCAATATCACATATATACTCCATTCTCCCCTCACTCCTCCAGGGCCAAAGTTGAAACAAAAAGTAATGGCAATTAGCACCAATGGAAATTCACAGAGATAACAATTTACAATGGAGATGATTATATGGTAATATATACAGGCTACCTGCAAGAATAAATAGACACCTACAGCGATGTACAGCTGACATAATGTTATGTACAATTGGGGTTATGTGACATATCAACAAACTAAACAAGCTAAACTACATAACTAACAAATTAAAATGTACAAAATCGCTCAATTTGAGAATTAGTACAGATACGTAAAATGAGTAACAAATGGAGAACACAAATCAGCACTAAAAGTTATGCTAAACGTGTTTTTAAGTTTTCGGAGTTTTAGTATGTGGCGTTAAATATATCATGGAAACTGTCGGCCTCCTTCCTTACATCTGTGTCTATGCCTGAAGATATACTGCTCCCGTCATCGTCCTGAATGTCAGGTCTGATTTCTTCCAATGGAGAGGTTAGTACCGCGATCTTTGGCGTTAAAGAAGTAGTGGTTGACGAGGAGCCTTGTGTAGTTTCCGCCACCAGTGTTGGATGGGAAGGTATATCTTCGAGTGGTGTCAGGTAGTCCGATGGAGAGTCTGAGGGAAAGGTCGTCTGTAGACTTTTCGAACCGGAGAAAGTTATCACGGGTTCGTCGTCGGAATCCTCTAATTCAATTGATTCTGCTCCTAGGGTCACCTGGTCTATGAAGCGCCTGTCTCCGTAAAATTATGGAGAGCATTGATTCCTTCTGGGCCGTGATTTGTTGCTTTTCGGGGTTTTGGGCGTCTCCAATGTCTTTTCCGAAGAGCTGTCCATCCTGATTAGATTATCGCTTGTGCCCGTTGGGAGAATAATCATCGTCTGAGTGTTGGTTTTACTCGCTAAGGTTGGTCCTGACTGATCTAAATCACTATCAATTTTAAAAGTCGGTGTATTATATACAATTTCCGAGTCCGTACCCAAATAATCATCGATAACTTTGTCCCAAAGGTCTAACTCTAGCGAGGAAGCTAACTCACTATACGCAAATTTTGAACCTTTAAGACTCGGGGTTTTCATCGCCTTTTCTCTCGTTGGCTTATAGCTCGTCGATGGGCCTCCTTCGTTCGAGTCTGGTCTCTTCAATGGAGAGTTTCTCTTTCATTTCCCTGCTAAATCATGACTATTGTTTATCGAGTTCGGAACTGCTGAAAATTTATTGGGAGCCGACGGTTGAGTTTTATTAAAAGCTAAGTCGGATTTTCTGAGCATATGTCCATTGTCTAATGTAACCATATGTTTCGTATCCGACAACGGTTTTTCCCCAAGTGGTTTAAAATAAGGTTCTCCTTCCCTTCGGTTAACTGCCTTCCTAAACCAGTTACCTCTTTGGCTGAATGGGTTTGACAATGGGGCTCGCTGAAGGTTTCTGACTAGTTTGTCCAATGGGTCACTTTCATACCCCCTTTTGTCTGCCGCTGTGTTCTCCAGATAACCGTCCTCGAATGCGTCATTTTCTCCCCAGTCTTGAGCTCTATCCTTTGACAATTTTGACTTCCCTTTATCTAAATTAATCGCGTGTGAGACCAGGGACTTCCAAAACGTGTTAGGCGATCTAATAAATTGTTTTGAAAAAGGAGGGCATCCAATGGATGATTCTTTCGTTGAACGAATATTCCAGATGACTTTATCAATAGCCGTAGTTAAAATGGTTTTGGATCGTTAAACGACATTGCCAAGAGTTTTGGTTCAACCGTGTAAATGAATCATTCTACAACTCCATTGGATTTGTGATCCCCGACAGTGCATAGAATCAATTTAAGGTTGTTCTTCTTGCAGAAGTTTCTAAATTCGTTTGAAATAAAACATGACCCATGGTCGACTATAACAGACTTCGGAAATCCATGAAGAGGGCAATAATCTGTCATGAATGCTAAAATCGAAGAAGCCGAGGTGTTATTCACTACCTCTGCTGACGGGAACTTTGAGAAGCGGTCGATGCAAAGTAAAGGGTATTTTGAGTTGCCCCAATTTTTGTCCAAAGGACCGGCAAAGTCTAAGTCTACTTCCTCGGCCTCGTTTGGTTCAGAAAGGATTGGCAATTTCTCCGTATTGTTCCTACCCAAAAACACTTTTAAATTCTTACCAGCCTTGATGCACTGGATACAGTTTTTTCCGTGATAATAAATCTCTCTGTACAAATGTGGCCACCAAATGTTTTCTGCCAGATATTTCAATCCGAGCTGTCCTGGTGAGTTTCATGGAGTAGCGACAGAAATGGCGACCTAGGAGCTGCTGGTACTATCAGTTTATTATCGTTAAATAACAATTCTTCTTTAACATGGATGTCTCTTTGGAAATTTCTTAGGTAAGCTCCGAATCTATCCAATGGTCTGCCTTCTTCTACTGCCTTCTTCACATCCTTGAGAAATTTGTCCTCGTCGTTTGTTTGAGCAGTGTTCAGTGAGAGATAAAGGAATGTCTGGTAACTTGAGGTCTCCCTTATATTTGGTGAGTAGTTTTTTACGGATGTCCGACATTATATCGTTGTTAATGTTCGGTGAAATTCCTTCAATTTCCGCCCTGAGGGAAATTTTTAGCTTTTCTAATAGCTTTTTGTTTACTGAATTTATGGACTGATTAACTGATAAAAGTGAATGAGCAAGAAAAAATAAGAAAGTTTTATCTGACAGGTAAAAACAATTAAGATCGATTTTGAAAGATTTAATGGGATACAACATTATAAAATCCCGTTAAAAATCTATAGGTCCCGGTGGTTTCACCACCAACAATACTAAAATTGCAATAACGCAAATGTCTGTAAATAAGTGTAGTTGACTGTACGCATTTCTCAGATCTAAATTACTGAAGCAGACTTCCCCTGATACTTTGCTGGAAAGTTGGAGAGCTACGTTGTCGATAAGCTCGTGTATGTTTGGCATTTGGTAATTGTTCTTGAGTATCTGGTTATTTAAAAGTTTCGAAGCTAATGCCAACTTGATACTACCGTCTTTGATCCTGGCTATCACTATTGGACTAAAAAATAGTCTTCAACGCATTTGCTTAGTTTCACAAAATGCCCCTCTTTTTCCATTCTATTCAATTCGACCTTTACACTATCTAGTAAATGCAGAGGAACTCTTCTGCCTTTGGTTTGAATAGGTTTGATTGGAGAGTGGAAATGAGTGATTTTTTTTTCCAACGGTATTTTCCTACTCTGTTAAATAATCTTTTGTACTTATGATACAGATTAAGAATTGTGTCTGAATGATTGCTTAACTTACCCAAATCCGGGAGTGTTACGTTGTTGACGGGTAGTAAAGGCTGTCGTTGGGCTATTTCGATTCCGATTCGTGGTAAATGATCATTTCCCAAGATATTCCTCTCATGCCGAGAAGTTATAAAAAATGGAGTTTCATCCGCAATCCAGCCATTGGATTGTATTCTAACTACATTTTTACCGATGATGTTCATTGTATCATTGGTAAATCCGCGGTATAATTC